TTCCAGGCAGCTAGATTATGCTCTCGGTCATTGTGCCAATGTTTTAAACTAGCCTCAATTCACGTGGGAATTGTTAGAACTTTGTGCTCTGTTCCTCATTGATTCGGTTATGTTCTGCTCTATTAACATTAAAGAATATTGTGTTGCATAATGATAATATAAGTTTTTACAATTAGGAATATGGAGTTGAAATGTGTAAATTATTAGAGATCTAATTTAGATTAATAAATATTAATGTCTAATTTAGATTATTAGAGTTATCATCACAGTATTCCACATGGAAGTAAGTATTAGTGTCTAGTTGGTGAAGAACTTTTTGCAACTTGAATTAAATTCAATAGGCAATCCCAAAGGTGAAAAAGTATTCTAATGTCAAATCATTTTACTTCAGATATGTTAGCTTTGAAAACCCTACTTCAGAATTTGCATTTTTTCCACATTCTGTTTTCTATATCTGAAAGCATCTGTTGTCTTGCTTGGAAATGATTCACTGGGAAAAACCAGAGGAATTGCCCATTTCTGCTCAGTGCTCCTCCACTTACTTCAAGGGACGATGGGGTTGGGGGGTTAGGCCCAGGAAGCAGTCCTGAGGTTGCCTGACAGGGAGCAAGGTGCACTTTCCCTCACTGGAAGACAGCTCAGCAGCCAGATTCAGGGAGAAGGCTGGCTCCTGTATGGGTCATGGAACACTGTTGTGTCTTTGTTATTTGGTTGGGATTTAAAATTTACAGACTTTATGAAATGACACCTCTTTCTAGCCACTTTTTTCTGCAGAGTTTAATGAGAACTACCTCCCCCGTGTGGTGTGGCTTGTATCTCTGGGGGGTTTCCACTGTTCTGTTTTTGGTTCCAAGATGAACCTTATTTCAGCACACTAAAAGAAATCTGTTTTGACATTCACTATGGCTAGTCAGGTAGTAATTTAAAATTGGCCAGTTGTCATCATCATAATTTTAAAAACACTTTTAAAGTCAACAAATGATGAGTGTATTATTGAATATCATAAAATACTTGGAGCATAGATGTATAGGTAGTCTGACTTAGTAAGGTCTCTAAGCAATCGCCAGGTAACAAAATCCAAAAACAGAACTATGTGCACTGACTTGATTATAGCCTATAGGACTCATTGTGTTCCATTAAAAAATGGTAGTATTAAGAAACACCCCATTTGTTTTTTTTTAATACATTCTGCTATTTGCATAAATCTTCTGAGGTCAGTCTGTAACATTAAATATAAAACACAAATTCCAGTGGTTAGCTTCTTTGTTCTCCACTTTTGGTTCTTGGCCTCCTGGGCCAAGGCACAGATATTAGGTGGCTGCCTATGAGCCCAAGTCTTAGCTGACTACCTTGAAGAAGCCTCTTGGCTTTGGGAATGACTAGTGTGTGCTGGGCCTGCAGCTAGACTCCCTGTAGCTCTCCATGGGATGCTCACAAGCCTGCCTGTGTATTGGCTTTTTCCTAATTTTTCTTAACTTCATGGCTTATCTATGAAAAACCTGATTTTAAAATAATAAATAAATAAATAAACCATGGTTTCACGAAACCAGGTTTAGACTCATTGTGATGCAGTAAGAAATGGAAAGTGTGCAGGGAAAAGGGCTTTTCTTGTTGCATTTCATGGGACATCAGTGTCTTCACCTGGTCTGAGCACTGGGTATGTGCAGTGCTCCAGTGGAAGTCAAGGATGTGAAGTTCCTGGACCGGTGCTTTGCCACCAGCAAGAGCTCAGAAGCTGCAGTGTTTTTGTCATTACTGGTTCTAGGAATGTTCAGTTGCCTCATGTTTTAAATAGGGTGGGATTGTCCAGATCCTTCGAGAGAGAAAGGGTCAGAAACCAAGCCTGAAGAGGTCTTATGGAAACCCTACCCCTACGACACTTAATTTGACTTGATTGTGTGTAAATGTTAGCTCCCATTTGTTCATTTTTTTTTCCAATTTATACATTATTTATTGAGCGTCTGCCTTATGGCAGCCCCACGGGCCTTCAGTATTGAGTCAGACACCCCTGGGACTTGCCTGCCCTCAGAAAGCTAGATTGTAAATTCCTGATGATCTGGATCATCCTGTTTTCTGCCTCTAAGAACATCTGGCCCAAAATAAGTCACTTGGGTCACTGTGCTCATGCTTTGTTTGCTGTCCTGTGGCTTTGGGAAGTGTGAGGGCTCCCAGGAGGTGTCTGTGCTGGAGGTTGGCTGTAGTAATCCTGAAGCCAGCCCTTGGGGCAGCTTGCAGAGACCTGGGACCTCTCTCAACTCAGCCATGCTCTCTGTTTATTGAGAAACCACAGTCTCAGCAATGAAGGTGACTGGTGTGCCAATCCTTTACAGATAGACTTAAAATAGGAACTTCCACCACTCCAGAATTGGGTTCTTTTCTACAGAATCCAAAATCCAATAAACAGGTATCTTTTTTCAAATGACCTTTTGAGACAATGTCTTTTTTTTTTTTTTTTTTTTTTTTAGGGCCGAAAAGCACATTCCTGCTTCAGTTTTTGCCACAATGTAGGTGAATTGGCAGTTTTTGAAGTTTTGGGAAGAGTGGGCTTGGTCAGAGTTCACTTTCTGAGCATATCAGAAATGCATATTAAAATTTGAGCTCCCTCTTCACATGCTTTCATTTTTATAAGCTCCTGGGGTTTCATGATTCCCTGTCACTGACCATGACAGCTCTCAACATACCCCAAATTAAAACTGTATATCAAGGAAGGGTGGCTCCTTTGGAAACTGAATGGAAAGACTCATTAAATTATTTAATGTGATTTGTGCCTTCTGAAAATATCATCTGAAATATGTGATCCATGAAGCTATACCTGCCCGTGCTCCATGTGTCCTTGACTTCACCTCACTAGCACCAGTGAGAACTGGGACTCTAACCTGTAGAGTGACAAGAGAGTCATGAGAAGTGACTTGTCTGGGTGGGAGGAAATCCATAGTGAGTCCTTAGTTAACAAGGAAAAATATCTCCCTGAAGGACTCAGGATCTTAGGAGCATTTTCAATGAAGAAAGAGCTGTGGGAGTGGGATTTGAGGTGTGATGTGGGGAGCCCTAAAACATACACAGGTGTACAGATCGGCTGGGAACCATGCTTTGTCTTAGGAATGGATGGACAAGAAAATGGTGCATCTAGCTTGGTTGGGATCCTGACCTACCAGACCTGCACAGACCTTAGGGAAGTTGGCAAAAGGTTTAAAAAAAAAAAAAATGTTGACTGAGCCACAGACCTGAGTTAGAATTTAAGAAAACTTTTAGTCACATCAGCAAATGCTTATGGTGTCCCTCTGTGCCAGCTAGAAGAGAAAATGTTTGAAGCATGCTGGGAAACCCCAGACAGGAATTGGCGCCTGTTTTTTGTAAACATTGAAGATTTCCTAAAAAGGTCAAGGATAAGCATGAGAAAAAGTGTCTGGAAGGTGAACAATTTAATGCTCGTGGAATTTAGTTTGTACCCACTGCTAGGCATCCTAGACATTTCAAAGCCTCATTCACAAACAACGGACTGAAGAGAAGGCACTGGTATTAAAGGGATTGAGACAGCACTCTGGGGAAGTTCAGACTTCACTTCCTTGGGGTTGGATTTTAGAAGTATTTCTACACAACTGTGGAAATGGCCAAAAAGGTCATAGTGAGGCAGTCACCTCGTGGTCATCTCCAGTTGTCAGAAGTTTCAGAGAATTCAGTGCCTACCTGGGTGTTTTAAAATTTACATTGTTATAAATACTCATTTTGAGGTCTGCTTCACAGAAGGATTTTATCTTAGGTGGTTCCCATTCACCACCTTTTTCTTTTTTTTGTTTTTGAATGAATGTCACATGGTCTTACTAAAGGGGCCAATTTTTTTTTAAAAAAGTGTGTGTGCAGGGTACCATTCTGTCTTTGGGCTTGTGCAACAACACATTCCCAAGAAGGTGGCTTGTGCAGCCACCATGTGCAACAGACATCCTTCTTGCCATAAAAAGTACTGGTTTTTAAGCTGAGTCTACAATATAATTTGTGTTTTGTGCTGCTTCCTTTATAACCACCCTGATGCACTTCTCAGAAAATTAATACCTTTCATTAGCATAAACCATGTTGCCTCCAGATGGATTTGAAATTTGGGGTACCCCATCATTCTTGCTTTATCTCTGTTAGTGAGTCCTGGCCCATTAGTCATCATGGCTGGTGGGCTTCCCTTGGTTAAATACAGCCTTGGATTGGAAGGATTCAGACACAATACTTTGTTCTCAGGCTTTAATATTTTAATGAGCCTGCAGGCTTGGCTGCTTACCGGTCCTGGGATTTCTGAGTGTGTTGTTAGTGTTAGCACTTTTAGAAGGATGTTCATTAGGAAGCTCTTGTTTCAGGTTCTCAGAGAAACTTCCCATTAGGAAAGATCTTTCAGCAGCATGGCTAGCAAGGAAAGAAAGGGGAGGAGGGAAGTTTTATCTCTAAGCATTCAGGGGATATTGTATCAGTAGTCTTCCTTCTAAAGGTTTGCTTCTAAGAATTAATTGGAGCAAGTACACCTCAAGGGAGGGGGAAAGAGAAGATGTCTAGAGTAGGGACTATAGTTGTCCTTGCAAGCTGAGGACTCTTCACTTTGCAGCTGAATCAATACTGCAACTAATTATTTCTGGTTATCTTTTATAGTTTTGTAAGACATTTCTTTTGTTCAGTGTAATAAAAAACCCATTGTTTGATCAGTAACTGACTAATTATGATAAGTAATTTGAAACATTCCTGATGAAACTTGTCTGTTAATTAACATCAACAGCAAATGGAAAGTAACAGGACAACAAAGTCTTAGTGCCTGCAGTGTTGCCTGGAATTGATGAGCTCTCTGTGGCATGCCCAATAAACCAAAGCTGCCAATGGTTAAAAAATAACAAATGGGTAGGAAGGGCTGACTCACCCACTCATTGTGGAGAAGTTGCTGTAAAGTTACACAGAGGAGTGCAGGAATATTATGAGGGAGGAGGTGCCTGCCTGACCCTAGTTCTTAGAGGAAGGAGTCTGCTGGTTGATTGTGCTGCTTTCAAAGTTTAATTTCTAAACATATTTGTCTCATGATGATCTGACTTGTTTTGAATAAAAGTGTGGATATGAAATGTTGTGCTTTGGGATTATTGGCAGTGTCTGGCTTTTTGATAACGCTTACTAAAATTGTTGAGTTTTACCAACTCACTTGCTTTTCTTTTATGCTTTTAGATTTCTACCTGGACAAGGACTGGTACTATACCCACAGATAGGAGACAAATTGGATATTATTTGCCCCAAAGTGGACTCTAAAACTGTTGGCCAGTATGAATATTATAAAGTTTATATGGTCGATAAAGACCAAGCAGACAGATGCACTATTAAGAAGGAAAATACACCCTTGCTCAACTGTGCCAGACCAGACCAAGACGTGAAATTTACCATCAAGTTCCAAGAATTCAGCCCGAACCTATGGGGTCTAGAATTTCAGAAGAACAAAGATTACTACATTATATGTAAGTACTGTTCTGTTCCTTTATTATGTAGGAATTAGGATAAGCTAAATGGGTTTATATTGATTTTTTTGTTTCCTTAAAATTATCGTGGCAAATTATTTGGTGAGAATCTTTGCTGAACAATTGTCCATTGTTTTTCAAAGATATCTTACTTGAATTTGGGACCATATTGTAGCAGTACTAATTGAATATAAATAATCAAAGGGGGGAAATGCCTAGGATTCTTGCAGTATTGAAATATATATAAGTGGGTTATGTGAATATACTCAACATTCTCCTAAGAAAAACATTTTTAAGGACCTTTGGTGAGATCTTGATAGGTCAACAATCTGTACAATGCCTTTTCTCTTCATCCATCCATCCATCCAATCACTCACTCATCCAGCGTTCATTCTTTATGCAGTGGCCGTGCCAGTGCTAAGGATCCAGTAGTGACAAGGTGGTATAAAGGCATACGTTCCTTGCGAAGTGATCGATCTAGATAGAGATGAGGTCATAGGGTGGAAGGACAGGGACTACAGGCAAAGAACCATTATGCATACACATTAAATCAGATTTAGAAAAACAAGACAAAACGGGTTTGCTCACTTTCCCCCATATATGTAACAATAACGTGATATATTGTGTCGGGAATAGATGATGCAAGTGTATCCACTGTAGTTAAGTCCTACAATGTACATATCCTGACTAATGCCTACTTCAGGCAAAGTCACCAAAGACACAGGCTGGCACCAAGCCAGGGTTGTTCCCACTGTCCTGGGTTTTGTTACAGTAAAGTCTGGGAGAGTGAGACAGCTGTTTGCATGGTTCAGGCAATAGAATCTTTCTTATTCATGTTTTTTGGTTTAAAGTTCTACCCTTAGATGGGTTAAATTCTCCCTCTGTATCCATAGATTTTAGCTCATGAGGAAATAGCTGTCCTCTGGCTTGGCACCCATGGCACATGATGATCAAATGAAAGTCTGGCCTTCTCCATCTATGAGCTCTCTTTAGAGCACAGAAACAGTAATTCAATGCACATTTATCTATTGCTCCATAATAACTATTTTTTACTACATTAGTAATTAAAACAAAGGTGGTCATAGATGTGCAGTTATCTTGTCTGTTGCTGTAAAATGCCACAGAGGCTGAGAACCTAGTTTTGAACCTAACTTGATTCATAGAAATTAGCTTTCCAAGAATAACAAAGGAGAAAAATGATAAATTATATATTTGATGGAATAATTATCATAAAATGAAAATAAAAGCATTCTGAGATGAAATAGGTATGTGGGGTGATAAAGTGTACAAAATAATAGGGAAAGCATTAACAAATCTAAAAAAGTTACAGGGTGAAATAAATGGTTTGGAGGCTGGCAGTGCTTTTCTCACTGTGTCTAGCATGACATTTATAGGGAACTGAAACAGACCTCAGAGGAGTGAAGAAGATTTCTGCCCCTGGGTGGGTGGACAAAAAAGGCAGGGTTGCCTGAAGAGTGGCGCACCAGAGATTAGATTTCCCTGTGGTGGTAAACACTTGTCCCCAAACCTACTTCTGCAGACTCGGTCTACCCTGTGGCACCTGATGGAGGGAAGCCAACAAACCTAAAACAGTCCCTCCTCTTTTGTTAGTTTATGATTTCATAAAGATGGCTTTGTGAAGTCTATGTTCCCACTGAGCACAAGTAGGATTTCAGTAAACATTAGAGGTTTAACCTTTCACTTGAAATAAAATGCAAGAAGTGCAAATAAAGAAATGCTTTACCAACACCTCTTTGCTTAATGTAATGAGCATTTAATAACTACTTTTTATCAATGCATGAGAGCTTTGTACTTAGAATCATAGTTTGAATCTGAATGGCATCTTTTAGTTTTCTTTTTGAGGAAAATCATTATGCCTCCTAAACAGGTTCATTGCAGATAGTTAAGTTACTCTGGCCTCCAGAACTCTCCTTACAGTTACGATTTGCAGTGTAAAATCATGGTAGCATGGGATCAAAGAATCGTAAGGAGGACTGGGTATAGTGGAACACACCAGCACTCTGGAGGCTGAGGCAGAAGGGTCACAAGTGTCAGTCCAGCTTGGACTACATCATAAGATCCTTTCTCAAAAAAGAAACAAAAAACCCTTTTAAAATAGAGTGTGGGGTTTCAAGTTTGAACCAAAGAAACACTGTTTGAATGTTGCCTGTTGAGTGACTATTCCAGGGCTGGTAAATGACCCAGGAACCAGAGCTTTGTGCAGAAATCTAGTGACAATTTGAGCAGAGTTAAAAGGCTTCCCCTATGTCACAGGCAGAGGAAGGCACTTTGGACACTTGGGAAAATGTTGGAGCCAGTTTCTTACCCACCCTCAGCAAAGCTCACTGGTATTCAGGCTTCCCTTGAAAGGAGATGGGAAATGAAAAGAATAAATTTTAAAATTAATGTTGACTTTGCACCCCTTCTTCAGGAATCCCAAGGTACCAAAACAATTGATGGATTTATGAAAGTCACTATGTCCCTATCAAACAAATGTATACATCTGAATACACACATGTATGTGAACACATGCAAATACACTAGTCACAGTCACATTCTATTCTGCAAGGCAGTAATTTTTATAGTAGTACATTCATAAAATTGTGCTTGGTAGCATGATGGGAAGTTCAGATTTACAAGTATAGTTTTAACACTTCAAAGCATTGATTGATTTTGAGACAGTAAATGATAATGGAGTTTGAGTTGCTAGGAAGTATACTATGTGTGCTAAACTCCTGATCATAGTGCCTGCTTGGTGGCGCCTTCACCACTGACAGTATTAAGCACATCATCTTATTGTATTCTGGTTGCTTTCATGGAAAGGAAAAGGCGACAGTGTTTGGAGTGTGCTTGATGTTCCCCAGTGGGGACCTCAGCTGCACGGGTGTTGTACATTCCCCGAGATGAGCAGCATTTGGGGAGAAATAGGCTGGAGCCCAGATCCTATGTTTTAGTTCTGCTGCCTGAGCTCAGTGAAAAAGCCACTTTAGCTTCCTTGTCTATAAAATAATTTTATCAGTGGTATTGTTCACCCTAATGATTGAGTTCTTCCTACGGGTCCAAGCCATTGCATGGTTGGACACACAAATCCAAACCAGGAGAGCTCTTCCCACTTAAAATGAACAGGCTCTGCTCTAAATTCTGTAGAAACTTTTTATTTGATTTGTAGGGTTGCCCAATTTAAAATGGGGTTTTAAAATAAATATCAATATTTAATTGAAACTGTATTTTGAAACCCACTGAATTCCTTTAAGAAATAACATAACAAAATGCTATGCGCCCCCATTAATTCTTCTCAGAGGTGATTATTCGCTTTGACATGTGGCAAAATGATATATCTAGGTTTTCTCCGTATTTAGAATTGACTTCTTCAAGTGACCTATTTCAGTAATTAGCCTTGGGCTTAATTTGCATAATAAAATCTCCTAATCATTAAGTGATCCAAAGAGGAGGATGTTATGACCATATGGTCTGAAAAGCCTCTGTTCTTCATTACATTCACAGCTTTAATTGCCTTCAAAACATAGTATTTTATATGACCTATAGATACTTTTATCATGTCTTTAAAATTATTTATGAATAGCTATATGTTCTGATGGTGTGCATTTTAGGGGAACTCTATGTTGGACATGATACATATTAGCTAGAGCTAATACTGGGAAAGCAGCCTGTGTGACCAGCCTTTATCTGCAAGTCTTCTTTGAGGTACTTTCTGTGCTTGATTTACAATTTCTTTCCTAAGGTGACAACCCAGAGCTGAGTGGCCTTTGGGACATTGTCTTGAGAAAGGTGCTGTGGGTTGCTTATATAACTTGGCCATGGAACCTTGCAAAAATCCTACAAAGTAGAATCATGGGAATCAGAGAAGGATGGAACCTGAATGTCATTGTGCTAATACTTTGTAGGTGATCAGTGGCCACAACGGCGCTGTAGACAGGATCTCCAGAGAGCATCTCCCAATTTAGATTCCTGTGACTTTTGCACTATTTTACTGTCAATCCATATTCAAGTTGTGGTCTAGTGGCATAGTCTGTAAGTCATCATTTCTAAAGATTGTTTGATTAAAAGTCCTATTTTACACACACACACACACACACACACACACACACACACATGTGGGGGGGGCGGTTCACAGAGTTCATTCTTGGAATCAGCCCTTATGTTCCAGTCTGCTGTTGTAGTAAACACTGAATGAGTGTGTAGGATCTACCATTTCTTAGGCTCCTCATCAATATGGGTCTCCAAAGCTTTTTTTTTTTTATTATTTTAATGAAAGCATGTAAAATTAGAAAGCTCTAGAGACAGCTTTGGTGGAGTTTTTTGTTTGCTTATTTGGTTTTTTAGGCATATATTCCATTTCTGAGCAAATCACAAGCTAAATTCTTACACTAAAGTAATGAAACATTATTCTTAAAGAACCAAGACACAACAGTAGGTTCTCTTTCTTACTTTGGTTGATTATATGATATTTGTTGTCTTTTTTTTTTCTTTCTGTTGCTGATTTACTTTCTTCTGGGAGTGGGGATGACATGACAAGTTACACTAACATATCCTGAATATACTATAGTCTCTTTCCCTAGAAAAGTGGTTATGGGAGCTTTCAAATGCCCTTTGACATATCTTCTAGATATGATATCTTCTAGAACATGTAAGAATGCATGCCATCCATGAAGTGATTATGTACTTTATTTGATGAATTATTTACAGTGATCAGTGTAGCAAGAGCCACACTCCATCATTAAACATACCCACGTTAGTGACACAGCCTCTGATTTAGGGGTGAAGATTTACATTTCATACCTCGCACATAATTCCTAAGTTCCAGCATTTGAACACATTTTTATTTTCTCTACAAATGTGGTCTTGTTATTGAATGTTGATCATAGTCTTGCCAGAGAGTATACAGTGGGGAGCTTAGAGGATGAATACAGACAGCTCAGAGACACAGATTAGTGCAGGGGCTGTGTCCAGACCTGTCAGTCCTGGGCTCATAAGTGTCA